ATCATTGATTGGTCACATAAATCACAATAACTAATGCAACATTTAAAAGCTGAGCATCCACCAGAACATAAAGACCTGCCTCGCTGTTTTTTTTTTCTATGATGTTTAAATTCATGAAATATTCAAGCCAAGCTTTCCACAAAGTTTCAAGCTTCTTAATGATAAATATTAAAAGGATTCCTGAGGTTTCTTATTTTGTTAGCAACAGATAAAGTGCCACTTACATAAAGTCAACATGCTTCCTTCCTGCCACGTGTGTGTCATTGCAAATAAGTAAATATACTTATATTGAGGATAAACGTTCATTATTTCATTAAGTGTGCCTGGTCCAAAAAATTCAAACCATATTCCCACAGTCTTCTCCCCTACCCTGAGAGTTCAGTGAGCTTATGAACATGTTCAATTTATCTGTACAAGACACCACACAACTAGTAAACAACCTGATCCCCCCGGTAGATAATTAGAAAGACAAGCACAAACGTTAACAGGTCTTTTTCGACAATAACCACCCCTCTCAATTCAAAATAAACTAATAAATAAACAGGGAAGAGGGGGCTTAGGAGCCTCCTTGGTCCTCTACCCCAGTACAGGGAAGACTGTTACCTGCCAAAACCCCCTGGAGAAAAGGTGCCTTTTTGGAGCATAGATGTGACTTAATTCCATTGTCACTCCAAAGTTATGGCAGCAGTTTCTCATGACATGCCACTCTGGGTAAGAAAAACCATTACCATTTTTAATTGGTTTGTTCCAGGCATTTAATCATTATTGTTAATCCTTGGAGTAACCATGCAAACTGTTCTGATTTTTTCATTTTAAAGATTGAAAAACTGAGGCTCACAGAGAGCTGAGCAGTTCATTCAAGGTTCTAGAGTTCAGGAGGGAGAAGGATGTAAACTTAGCTGTCTGGGGCAAAATTGTCTTGCTTTCTACTGTGACATGCTACTCCCAGAAGCTAGATGTGTCTTTGGAAATTTCCTGCACATCATTCCTTCAGACAATATTTATTAAGAATCCACTAGTGCCAACAGGTGGGCTGGGCACTGCTGGTGTGGTAGAGAACAGACGAGATATGAGTCCTCACAGAGAGACAGAGCCAGCATGTGAGGCTTGGCAAAAAGAAAAGCTACAGGAGCAGGGAGAGAGGGAGGGGACATGATCAAATTGATGCTAGGGAACCTGAGAGCACCACAGAGGTGACATTCACGTGGAGACTTGAAGAATGAAAGGAGGAGATAGCCAGCTATACACCA